CTGGACTGTTGCAATTTCAGATCAATTTGTAGGGGTGTATAGGAAGATCCAGACGAAATGTAAACATAGAAATGAGGGGAAAAAACCTGAGCACGGAGCCAAGTGTTGGGAACGGAAAGAGGGCCATGTTGCTTAAAGAGATCGTAGAGAGAATTGGAAATGGCGTAAGCTTCTTGGATCGGAACTTTAGGGTTTATCTTCCGGACGTTTACTGCTCGTTCTCTCGACATGTATCTCACAAACAAAGAATTACAACTCATCTCATTCTCGAAAACCGCCGTGAATCTTCCGAGCTTCCTCAGTCCTCCTCCGCCGGCGAACCACATCTCTCTTCCTCGCCGTCACTTTCACACTCTCTATCTCCTCTTCTTCTATTTCGTTCGGCCGGAATCTTCTGTTAGGTCTCTCGCGTCGTCTTTGAGAGTTTGTTTTCAAACACAAAAGCGCATTTTAGCCCACTGGGCCTGATTAGGGGCTTTTGAGATTAAAACCTGAGTTTTCCATTTACAAAAATTACTTGTTAATTAGTGTATGTTGCTGGTTGATCCTTTAATTTTAATCGCTTATTATATTATTATCTCTATAATATTAAAAGAGAAATACATTTAGAAAAATATCCAAAATTGATTCTAATATTACTCAAATTGCCATTGTTTTATAACTAAATTGATTAAATTGAAAAGGGTAATATTGAACTAATGCAATGACAATTTCAGTAATTTGAGTACAATTTCGGCTATTTTTATGTTACTAATTAATTGCATTTTCGTTTTTATTTTTCAGGCACATTAATGGCATTTTTGTTATTTTAGGAAAGTTTTGTAAAATCAGCATTAATTCACAAATATTTAATTACCAATCAAATTTTTTNAAAAATATTTAATATCTCTTTATATCAACATATAATCCATTTTAAGAATTAGATCNCCCATTCAACTTTGTTTGATGATATTTTTTATATACAAATTAAATAATAAGATAATTTATATTTTTTTATCCATATGTTATGATTTGAATTTTTCAAAAAGAAGAAAAAATAAGAGAAATTTCAAAAAATACCATTTTTCAAGTGCCACTTTACAAAAATGCCACA